AAACCTAGAAATTGATTCAATATAATTGTTCCACTTCATGTCAGTGGAAAACACTGAGAAGGTGCAATAAGTTTCTCATATGTTGATGGAAAGCAAAAATGGTTCTCTAAAATGGCTACAAGGTAGTTTCATTTTAGGGGCATTTTATTTTACAACCCATTTTTTGCCCTAGCTAACAACAGATTTTGTAGATCAGCAGCCAGTTTAATTTTCAGACCTATCAAAATGACTATTAAGACAGGAGTAAATATTCATGTCATCAGCATAAACACCAAAATAAGAAATAAAGTAGGTCCAAGGATATACACTTACATGTGGAAGGATCTAGAAGAGTGGCTGTTCAGTTTTGATTAAATAATTTAAGAAGATATTGGATCAAGCAAAAATTTGCTTGTGGACACCATAAATCTTCAGCTTGTCGAAAACCAGTTTGCCAAAATCTAAAGCTGCAGCCTGAGCATCACTATTCTTATCCAAATTTTGGCATACTGTTTCAGTAATAACTTTTAATACATCAGCAGTTTACCTAGGGAAGCAAAAGCCATATTGTTTATCTGAAAGAAGTCTGAAGTGAGATGCTTAACAAAATATACTGTTGATTGTAGCTATTAGTACTATAGAATGTGGCTGAATGATTAGAATGTTTACTTTCTGACCATGAGACCTGGGTTCAAATCTCACTATGGTTGATTTGTCAGAAAGGAGACTTCCTGTTGCTATCGTTCTGGAGGGGGCAATTTCAGCATGCAACACCTTTAGAAAGTGCTTAAAACCGATACCACGGGTTGACCCAAGCTTTATCAATGAAATTAAGTAAACAGAACTCATGGTGGTGTGATGGTTCTTTGTTTTAGCAGGAATCTTTTTAATGTTAACCAAGTTGAATTTATTGTTTGTGCATATGCTCTGCTTTTAGATGTTGTCCTGTTCTATAATTATCACACAATTCCCTAACAAAACTATCAGTTAACTAATGTTGTTGTTTTTTTTTGGTAATCTTCTTACCGTTTTTACACTTAGTTTCAAGATAAAGTGACCTATGACTTTTAGCATACAATATTGGTTATACAGAGAACTGTGGGGGAGTATGTCCAATTTAAATAAAGTGATTCAAAAAGTTTAGGGGAAATATAAATAATTGTGTACAACCTAAATAAAGATGGCAGCAGGAAACCCAAGAGAATAAGTTTGATCAATGGTAAGAGGTGATCATTTTTCAGCCCAAAAATTTAGGAAATTTAATTGTTGAAAAAATTATTTAATAAGCAGATAAATAGCCAGTGACGATCTCAAAGTTTTTATTTGACCGGTGTTATTATTTCAGGAATGAAATTTTCAATAAATAAAATATCCCATTTGTATTTGAACAGGAGGGATAAATCTCTACTCCTGTTAAAATACCAATGGGATTTTTTTATTTCCTTGAAACGTTGACCACTGGTTAGTTCAGAGGATTCACATATACTGTGATGTTTGATTTTTTTTTTTTTTTTTTTTTTTCTCTCAGAAAATCATGTTTGGTTTGCCCAATGATGATACTGCTTTTCCAGTTGGATGATTTCACAAGTTTCCCCAGTACTTTTTTTTTTTTTTTTTTTTTATCATTTCACCCCAAGCAAGAAAACAAAGCCACTAAGATGTTGAGGCTTACTGAGTGTGAAAGAAAAAAAAAAAATCATCATTTTTTTGAGAACAATAAAAGAACAAGAATTAAGATAATGATTAACATTGCATTTAAATTTTTTGAAGGTCAAAGTTGAATGGAAAGCAAGAAGCTAGAAGAGTTCCACAAGTGAGAAATGTTAGAGAAAAAATTATAGCATAGAATTTATGAAGAGACCTAGCTGCTAATCTAGTATCATACATAAATTTAAAAAGTCTAATTATAGCGAAGAGTTCATCCGAATAATTACTGTGAAAGTATAGAAAAGGAACAGGAAGGCAACTTTATGGGAAAGTTAGCTGAAGCCGAGCTGCCAGATCAGGGACAATAATATCACTAATTCTTTGATAAAAGGAGTGCTAAAAATATCTTGATTTGATCAAGAAAAGATAATAAAAAAAAAAGTTAGTTCTGATTCTCAGATAGGATTGCAGGCTGAGAATTTTCCAGCATCTCCTTGTATAATATCTTGCTTATTGATATAGATTACTGGATATATTGTTAGCATAAATATTTAGCAACTAATACACTATAAATATTTTTGTTTGGGGAGAATAATCGATGAAAGCTTTCATGTAGAAATACTGTATTTATTGAAGAAACATTTGTTTGCAGAGAAACAAAAAAGAAACTAACAAAAATAACAGTATCAATAGATTTGTTTGTTTTTATTTGTTTTATCTCCATTTTTTTCAATGCGATGGGGAGCTGTTGGATCACAGCATGTCAGCCATTTTTTTTTTTTTTTTTTTTTAGCATAGTTCGTTTGTCAGCATGTATCCCAAATTATACATTAAAAGAGTAAAAAGAAAAAGGACTATCAAATTATGAAGCAGATAACTGCTGCTACTGCTTTTTCTTGAAGCAATAAATGCTTCTTAAAGAAAAAAAAAAACCTCCATTTTCTTCACAATTCATTCTGAATGATGGCAATCTATCACAGATCAAGGCAATATTAAAAGTGCAAGTTCTCTTAATTATTTTTAAGCTTTTTTTTTAACTGACCTTTAGCTAATTTTTGAACAAATTATAGAAGTTATCTGTAAATTTACTGTAACTACAAAATTTGAATTCTTGTTTAAAAATTAAGTCTGCAATCCTTGTTTTTGGTAAAATTGTAGAATAATGGCCCCTTGGCAATGCATAAAAAAATAAGTTTAGATGCGTATAATTCATTATCTTAATTGTGGCAGCAAACACAACTTGAATTTTCGTAAACATATTTCTCAATTATTAAAAAATAATTATTGAAGAATAACAATTTAGAATTATCCTAGAGAGATAATTTAGAATATTAAAAAAAATATTTAGTAATTAAATAAATGATAATAAATCTTCCCAAAAAATTTTTAAATGATTTTTTTTTTTTATAACTCAGAAGTTGACAGAATATTTTATTAAAAAAATAATATCTGTTTATATTTCTGAGATGAGGTATTGTAGTTATTTACACTATTTGGATTTTTGTCTTCATCTTTGTCATATTCATGATGTTTTGTACATTGTATATTCCTGGGTCCTCCAGGTGATATACATACAATGGCCGAAACATGAATATGACAGTAAAGATGAGGACAGTAGTATGAACAATGTCAATAAAAAAAAGAAAAAAAAGGAAGTAAAAACATTTGAAATAAAGAGATTATTGATTTTATTTTCTGTTATATAGGAATAAAGTGTTGCTGCTGACACTTGAGTTTGAACATAGATTGCCAGTGAACAAACACAGGCGATCCCATTATTGAATTAAGCAGACGACATGACCATAGAGGAAATGCATTAGAAATTAGCTTGGCATCTAATTGATCACCATTTCTATTACTATACAGACCACTATTCTCTACTCTATTCACTATACTATTTCTCTGTACTAATCACTATATGGATTACTTTTCGAGCAGTTACTATTAGTGCGAGTAATATTTAAAGGCATCTGACAGCAGTATTGTTCAACAGCGTACTATAGTTTTATCTGATTATAAAGTTTCTACTAAAATGAGCATTTCAAAAGTGGCAACGAGTGTTCGTTGACATCAAAAAATTTTTTATTCATAATTTTATAGCGCTTAGAATTGAATTTACAAATGATTTTATTTTTTGGTGAACTTATCTTTGAAATGGAAACATTAAATGTTCAAATTATATTTTAAGATTTCAAAAAAATTAAGGCCAATTAAGATTGGTTTTAAATTTTCTTGTTTTTTTTTTTTTTTGACAAAATTCTTTTTCCATGAATAAATTCAATCATAAATAAACTAGTATTCAAAATATGCATATATGTTGGGGGTGACTTATGTTGCAGTTTTGACTTCTTTTTTTTTCATATTTTTCTTGCTTATTTATAACAAATCTTAGGTTGTTATTCTGTGATTATTAAATAAGCTGTAAGGGTCAGAAAAAAGAATCTGTCAGTGAGATTGGAACTCCTATTCTTTATTTTTACTAAATGTTTATCCCATACATGATCTAAGATCCACTCAAGGTAGTGTTACTGAATGAGGTGTGTGATATAGCTATAAGAGGTTAAGATTGTAGTGATTGGGGAAATATCCTCTTGGGAGTCTGTTCCACAAGAAACCGTTCTCTTTTCTAGAAGAAGCTGTGTAGAATACAAAGGGAATGATGGTGTATGTGTCATGGTAGGTCTTAGCTGAAAAGATCTGAACAGACAGAGCTAAGGAATGTATTTCATTTGAACATTTGCCATGTATGGCAATATACTTGCGATACTTGGTCTTTGAGAAAGGGGTTGAAAATAATTAATCACTCAATAGGTCACAAATGTTTTTGAACTCTATCAAAGTGAGGATTGGACAGCTCCAGCCTTGATATAGTAGCAATATTCCATTTTTGGTTTTGTCCTTTGTGTCTAATGTGGAGTTAGAAGTAAAGTTTATTACAAAGAGCTTAGCCTTATATGATGGGGATGAGATAACCTCAAGATTATAAGGCTCGCTCAAATAATAATTATGACAATCCAAGAAATAAATTATATTTCTTTTCTTAAACAAAAAAATAGCATGAGTACAAGGAAAGTATGATTCAGACATTGGGTATAATCTGGGACCCTACTGGTATGAACTTTGGTTTGAAATGAGTGGGAGTGGTTTGAACCATATGTAATGGTGATGGATTCTCGTTGTCTAAATTTTTATATAAAACACGAAAAAACAGAGTGCTGTTGTAGTAGTAGAAAAGTTAAGGACCCTGATACATTTTTGAATTTTCCACTTCCAGAAAACATTGTGTGACTGTGGTTTCAACAGGGAGACTTAGTTGAGAATCAGTCTGATGAAGATTTGAAGCAGTCATACTGTTATACATTTAGAGAAGCTCAATGACCAGTACATTTCTGCTCTTTCTCTCTCCCCCTCCTTTTTTTCTCTCTCTCCCCCTCCTTTTTTCTCTCTCTCCCCCCTCCTTTTTTTCTCTCTCTCTCCCCTCCCTTTTTTCTCTCTCTCTCCCCCTTTTTTCTCTCTCTCTCCCCCTTTTTTCTCTCTCTCTCCCCCTTTTTTCTCTCTCTCTCCCCCTCCTTTTTTCTCTCTCTCCCCCTCCTTTTTCTCTCTCTCTCCCCCTCCTTTTTTTCTCTCTCTCTCCCCCTCCTTTTTTCTCTCTCTCCCCCCTCCTTTTTTTCTCTCTCTCTCTCCCCCTCCTTTTTTTTCTCTCTCTCTCCCCCCTCCTTTTTCTCTCTCTCTCCCCCCCTCCTTTTTTCTCTCTCTCTCTCCCCCCCCTTTTTTTTCTCTCTCTCTCCCCCCTCCTTTTTTTCTCTCTCTCTCCCCCTTTTTTCTCTCTCTCTCCCCCCTCCTTTTTTTCTCTCTCTCTCCCCCCCTCCTTTTTCTCTCTCTCTCTCTCCCCCCTCCTTTTTTTCTCTCTCTCCCCCTCCTTTTTTCTCTCTCTCTCCCCCCCCTCCTTTTTTTTCTCTCTCTCTCTCCCCCCCCTTTTTTTCTCTCTCTCTCCCCCCCCTTTTTCTCTCTCTCTCCCTCCCCCCCCCCTTTTTTTTCTCTCTCTCTCTCTGACCCCCTGCTTTTTCTCTCTCTCTCCCCCCTGCTTTTTCTCTCTCTCTGACCCCCTGCTTTTTCTCTCTCTCTCTGACCCCCTTTTTTTCTCTCTCTCTGACCCCCTGCTTTTTCTCTCTCTCTCTGACCCCCCCTGCTTTTTTTCTCTCTCTCTCTGACCCCCTGCTTTTTTTCTCTCTCTCTCTGACCCCCTGCTTTTTTTCTCTCTCTCTCTGACCCCCTGCTTTTTTCTCTCTCTCTCTGACCCCCTGCTTTTTCTCTCTCTGACCCCCCCCTCTTTTTTCTCTCTCTCTCTGACCCCCTGCTTTTCTCTCTCTCTCTGACCCCCTGCTTTTCTCTCTCTCTGACCCCCTGCTTTTTTTCTCTCTCTCTCTGACCCCCTGCTTTTTCTCTCTCTCTCTCTGACCCCCCTTTTTTTCTCTCTCTCTCTCTGACCCCTGGCTTTTTTCTCTCTCTCTGACCCCCTGCATTTTTTTTCTCTCTCTCTGACCCCTTTTTTTTCTCTCTCTCTCTGACCCCCCCTGCTTTTTTCTCTCTCTCTCTGACCCCCTTTTTTTTCTCTCTCTCTGACCCCCTGCTTTTCTTTCTCTCTCCCCCTGCTTTTCTCTCTCTCCCCCCTTTTCCTTTCTCTCTCTCTCCCCCCTCCTTTCTCTGTCTCTCCCCCCTCCTTTTTCTCCCCCCCCTCCTTTTCTCCCTCTCCTTTTCTCTCTCTTTCTCTCTCTCTCCTTTTTTCTTTCTTTCTCTCTCTCTCCCCCCTCCTTTCTCTCTCTCTCTCCATCCCTATTTCTCCCCTCCTCTCACTCTCTCTCTCTCACTCATTCTGCCCCCCCCCCTCTTCGAGAAATGATTACTACATACCCTACAAAATGAAATCGTGGTAGTGGACAGGGAGAAACTGAAGAAAACTGTCTATCATTGATTCAGTCTGTTGATGCACCACTGGGATCCCTACTGAGGAATCATAGACAGCCAGCCAGCCACAATCCAGACATGAGATGCAAGGCAATAATTCAGCTTAGATATTCAAATAAGCTAGTTTACCTAACAGTCACGAAATGATCTTAGAGTTGCAATAAAAATGCAAGAGAAATAGTAAGCCAAGAATAATAATAATAGACAATGTTTTAGCTTTGAAATTCAGACACCATCTTAAACAACTAGTGTAAATACAATGATAGCATCATGGCAGCATAGACAAGATCAATGAGGAAAGCAATATATCCACATGGCTTATTTGAATGAAATGAAAGCTACCATGTTGGATGCCATATTTTGGGGATTTATGAGAAAAATAAACCAAAACTCATATTTTTTAATATTTGTGTATGCAGTCTTAATGTTAGAAAAGTATCGCTGTCAGATTTGTCAAAGCTGAGTGGAATTTTTTATGCTTTTGCTTTTATAACAAATCTGGTAAACGGCTTTCAAAATATAGCATAATCACACACATTAAATTTAATATATATATATATATATATATATATATATATATTAGTCGGTTTGGCAATTTATGTTACGGTATTGGTTTTCGATTCGGTTTTTAATTTAGTATCTTTGCTTTCTAAGGGAGCCATTCATTTTCTTGTGTAATGATATCATTTCCAGTCGATATCTGATTTCATTTGAGATTGATAAATTTGAAACTTAGTCCGTTCAACTCGCTAATTTTTGTGTATTTCTGGTCCAATTTTAGATAAAAATATTCATATTGCAATTGCTGGAAAGAAAATAAGATAATCTTTCTAAATATGTAATTTGTATGTGCCTTTATTCATTGAGTTATTTTTTTACAGTAAGTTAAAATGGTATTTTGCTTTGAATAGCTGAAAATGCGAAATATGATTTTTTTTTTTTTCCCCCAAGACTAAATTTTACACGTTACTTTGACGAATCTTAATCAATTTTCTTTAAATTGTTTCACTCATTAGAAGTCACCTTAAACTACAACCAGGAAGTTGTTAATTTCTTCTCTGATGCATAGAAGCGAATCACTTCAAAAAAAAAATTACAGCAATTCTCTTCTTGTACACCAGTCAACTATTATTGGCATTTTGCAAATAAATATCTTCTAAACAAGGAAAATCAGTGAGTTATTTTTACCCTAAATAAATTCGTTTTTGTCTAGTGAACACCTAAAATTGAATATTAAAAATAATTAAAAGCTTGTAATTTCATTTTAGAATGTGTATATTTTCAAATTTATAGGCAGAACACTAGTGGCTAAAAGAGACTAATTTTTACTTTGGGTTTAAAAAAAAATGACTTGCCATTTTGAAAATATACACATTTTAAAACTGAGATTAAAACTTATTTCATTGTTTTAATATCTAATTTTAGGTGTATTTGCAAGATAGAAATAATTTTTTTTGTAGAAAAACAATTTAAAAATTTTACTCTAGAGATTTGCATGTCTGGAAATACACACATTTTAAAAGTGAAAGTTAGAACTATTTTAATTCTTAATATCTAATTTAGGTGCATTCCTGAGATAAAAAACAAATTTATTTATTAAAAAAAAAAATCTTCATTTTTCTTTGTTTAGTTTACATTTCGTGATTGGCATATTGGCTTACTAGAAAACACTTACAAAAAATCTGACTTCTTAAAATTTAGAATTAAGATGAAACTGGCAACTATTTTTTTTTTTAATTTTTACTCGCTATTTTGTTAACTTAATTTTACTGCAAAAAGTTTTTTTTTTCTTTCTTGAAAACTGAAACAAATACATTTTGGCATGTATTTACTTTTTTTTTCTTAATTTCTTTTGTAAACAAATACATTTCATATTTATTTCCTAAAACTAGTCAAATGTTTTTAACATTTTTGTTCAATCTTTTTCTCTTACAATGGTATAAAGTGGTTAATTTTATTAACATCTGAAGGTCTTTTGCAATAGTGTTTTTTGGATATGGTCACTCAGTGATGGCACTAAACTGAACGATTTTGGTTTTGTAAAAATTTTTGATGCAGTTTCATGGTATGAAGATGAAACCGAAAAAGTCAGTTTTTCATTTAAACCACCCATCTCATATATATATATATATATATATATATATAAAATAAATAAAATGAGCTCTCGTCATTTTTGATGTATGAGGGTCAAGCAGCTCAGTTCTTAGAAACAAATAGTATTCATTTATAAATTTAATATGAATCTCAGATCCACATACCTGTGTCCATGTAACCTATGTCTTTCACTTGCAAACCAAGCATCCCTCAATCAACAAACGGACATTACCAGACTGAATCAATAATAAACATACAGGCTCACCAACATCCAACCATCTTCAGGAATTTTTCATGGGCACACTACCAGACAACACAAAAATGCCTGCTATAATGCAAATGTACATGTAAACACACATACATTTAACACCACAAGACAGACATATGAGGTCAACCTGACTAGTAAAAAGCAAACACAGAACTAAAAGTGCCAGAATTTTCTCTTCATTCATTCATTTATATATATATATATATATGTGTGTGTGTAATTTCCAAGGAATTGATGGATTTCATTTTTTAATCTGACATATTTTTGTTATGCTAAAAAAAAGTTAAAGAAAAAAATATGCCCTTCATCATGATTTGAACCTGTGTCCCCCTTTTTAGGAGGAACCACCAATCAGCTCTGAAGAATTTCACAATAAATGGAGTGTCTACTCTAATATGGGTATCCATTAAGTGTAACATTTGAAGTAATAAAAATGTCAGATTAAAAAATAAAATTCCTTAATTTTTTAGAAATTGTTTACTTTGTTTTGAATACAAAGCTGAGCAGATATGCATTTCAATAAAAATCTGAGTGAATGTGCTTTAAAGGCAAAATAGAACTTTATTGTGAAGCTCTTCATAGCCAAATGGTTCAGTCTAATTGGATCAGATGGTGGTTCCTCTTGCAAAAAGAGATGATGGTTTGAATGGAGTGCACATCTTGGCTACACAGACCAGTAAATGAAATAAATACTGTTTAAAATAAACAGTGTCTATTCAAACACTGGTATCCACTAAAAATAAAGTTTAAAGACACACACACACATTTTTTTTTTTTTTATTGCTTGTCAGAGAGCAGATCATGGGATGTAAGGTGTTTAACCACTTCAGCATTGATTAAAGCTTCAAAGACTTTGCCAAAGAGGGGTAAGAGACTGATAGGACGGTAATTAGAAGGGTCAGAAGGGTCTCCAGAGTTCTTAAAGACAGGAACAATGGATGAGGACTTCCAACAGTCTGGAAAACAAGATTCATTGTGGCAGTAGTTATATAATTTGGAGAGGGCAGGGGCCAGTTCAGGTGCACATTTCTTCAGAACAATGGCGGGTATCCTGTCTCCAACACTAGCCTTGTGTGTGTGGGGCGGTTCTAAATTAGAGATAATGCCCAATATCGATGATGGGGTTATGTGCAACTCGCTCAATAGATCCTTGATTCTGAGGGGGAAATCGGGTGTGGGTACACTGGAAGAGTCGAGCGTTAAATTGAATGAGAATTTCTGAGCAAAACATTCAGCCTTGTTGGCAGAAGAGGTCACAACCTTGAACTGGTTGAACAAAAGAGGTATAGAGGGTTTGCTATTGTTATGTATGCTCTTGCAGAGATGCCAATAATCCTTGGAGCCAAATTTGCGAGATGCAATACGTTCTTTCACTCAAGCAGCAAATAGTGACTTTGCTTCATTGAGGACATGCTTACACTCGTTACGGGCAGAGACAAAGAAACGTCTATTGCAGTCAGACATGTTGCTACGATATAGGTGAAAGAAGTGATTCCTATGGGCAATGGCAGCTGAGCAAGCAGTGGAGAACGAAGGGGAGGAGCATGATTTGACCTTATATTTTCTTGAGGGAATGAAAGCCTCAATTCTAGCTTTAACCCAGGAGGAGACCTCAGTAGCACATTCTTGAACGGGGAGCATAAAGACAACATCCCAGGCGACATCGCAAAGGAAATCCCAGAACGAGTCCCATACTGCTTGTTGGTAGCAGAAGAGGTTCTAGTGGTAGAAGGTTCTTTGCAGGGGGTGGAGTTGAAGAAGATACAAGTATAGGATTGGTGTACCATACTTATTATAAAACCCAGGTTGTGCGTGTCTGTTCGTTTATATATTGGATCGGATTTCCTACATTTTTCAAATGATTTCAACAAAACTTCACAGGAC